TCCAAATCCTAGAGGAAATGACATATAAAATCCATTTTCACTTTTGAAATCATGTCACAACTATCGGTTTAATAGAATTTTTTCCTGTGGGTCCACAGAACATTTGCCATCTTAGTGACGAGAACACACCTGTGAGGTCTGGGTGAAAGCCTCGAAGAACTCTTCAATATCAAGGAAAGAGTTGCCGCCCTCTAGACGATCAAAGACCATTTCTATCAGGTGTGCGTTGTTCTGCGCTCCAGAGTGTAGTGTCAGCTGAGCAACTTGAGAAGCGCTCAGAAGGTCCAAAGACTCAAACTGCAGAAGATAAAAAAACACCATTTTTCAAATGACATGGTTGCCCACAACAGTCACGGGAGCAATTGTTGAGCACGGCGGCCTCCTTACGCTGTCAAAGCCTGTGTTGAGGTCACGCAGGTCTTGGTAATCCACATAGATGGAGAACTTGCCAAAGAGACTCAAACTGCAGAAGATAAAACAACACCATTTTTACAAATGACATGGTTGCCCACAACAGTTACGGGACCAACTGTTTAGCATGGCGGCTTCCTTACGCTGTCAAAGCCTGTGTTGAGGTCACGCAGGTCTTGGTAATCCACATAGATGGAGAACTTGCCAAAGCTCTCCTCAAGCCAAGTGCTGAGGCTGCCGGTGCCGGACCCACAGGTTGAGCCTACAGCAATGATGCACAGAAATGACTAGTTAAGAGACAAGTTCGTTCACAACCACAAGCAGTGCTGACTTTCAGCACGGAACACAACCAAAGCACTCCACCCTCGCTGAACTTACTCCACGGGTGACTCTGCTTCAGGTAGCCCAACATGACTGGGGTGAGCTCCTGCTGTCTCAGCGAATTCATCTGATCAAAGACGCTGCTCAGAGCACCAACGCTATAGTGGAAAGATCAAAAGAAAAGGTAAGGACGACACCCGTTTAGCGCGTCTTCTCATCACTCACTAAACATGCTGTAGAAATATCCTCTCCTTCCCTCTGAGAGTGCTGTAACGCACTTGTTACAGTGCTATCTGGCATTTGGGCAACGCTACGTACATGACATGGTATGCGTTGCAGTCTGTGTTTGATGTTACTGTCTGGAGCATCTCTGCAGTCAAGCTGGGGAGGAGAGGAACCAGTTTCACCGTGAACCAGGAAACCCAGTCGTGGCTCAGGAATTCGGCAAAGTGAAGATTGATGATGGTGAAGGTTCGATTCATCATGATGTCCCTCACCACAGGATTGATGTCCAAATCCTAGAGGAAATGACAAATAACAATCCATTTTCACTTTTGAAATCATGTCACAACTATCGTTTTAATGGAATTTTTTCCTGTGGGTCCACAGAACATTTGCCATCTTAGTGACGAGAACACACCTGTGAGGTCTGGGTGAAAGCCTCGAAGAACTCTTCAATATCAAGGAAAGAGTTGCCGCCCTCTAGACGGTCAAAGACCATTTCTATCAGGTGTGCGTTGTTCAGCGCTCCAGAGTGTTGTGTCAGTTGAGCAACTTGAGAAGCGCTCAGAAGGTCCAAAGACTCAAACTGCAGAAGAGAAAAGAACACCATTTTTTAAAATGGCGTGGTTGCCCACAATAGTCACAGGAGCAATTGTTTAGCACGGCGGCCTCCTTACGCTGTCAAAGCCTGTGTTGAGGTCACGCAGGTCTTGGTAATGCACATAGACGGAGAA